GCTCCGCTGCCGGACCGCACTTCGCCACCGCAACACGCGCCGTTCTTGTCATTTTACACGCGCTCATTTGTCATTCGACGCGCACGTAAACCCACTAAAAATACTTTTGTAATGTGGAACAACGGTAAAAAACCTCTCCCACAACCGCAATCTGTTGTTTACCTTCCGCGAAAGTACGTATTTTTTATAATAATAGTGATGTTACAAATTACCTATCAGAATAAGCTTTCAAAGAATGCCAAAACAACTCCCTACTCATTGCGCAGATCAACTATTTGAAATTCTGTCAAGCAAGCAGAGCGGATACTTATCGATGGCTGCACTGCGCCTCCATTGTTAAATTTTAAGGGTACGTACCACATAAAGGGTAGGTAATATATGGGGCTTTCAATAGACGTTTCTTCACCATCTCCAACATTTTCATAATATAGAATTATTGCATGCTATACAACTATCTACTTCGTTTTTCATATGTCACTACGAAGAATAACGACCTCTGATATTTGCTTAATAAATAAGTTTATAACCCTTTACACTCAATATTATGGGCTAAACAAATCAATAGAATTTCATTAAAAATTGTATCAATATCTTTGAGAATTATAAAAGATGTAGTTGAATACTATACATATATAGGTGTTGGGGTAAGAAATCTTTGGCATTTTTAAAATAATTAAAGATGTTGTCATTGCCAACAATGTTTTTTTAATTCAAAAGCAGCTTTCGATGGCTTAGCCATCATCATCAGTTGTCTGCTAGATGAAGTAGTCGTTTTGTGGCTTCCATCTAGCAGACAACTGATGATGATGGCTAAGCCATCGAAAGCTGCTTTTGAATTAAAAAACATTGTTGGCAATGACAACATCTTTAATTATTGAATACTATACATCTTATGTAGCCGTCGCGTACGTTCATAATGATGGCAATGAACTGGTCGTGATAATGAGTTTGCCGTTTTCTCTCCATAGTAGTTCCCCAATGTTTCGTAGAATTCTTGTTTTCATAACTAACTTAGTGAGATTATTTAACATTATACCAGCAAGTCATAGAATTCCAGTCAGCTTTGCCATTCATAGACTGTGATTATATCGTACCAAGACGTTCGCATGTAGAAGGCTATAGAATCAATTTACGTATCGTTGGGACATTCTCCCTCACAGGTGCTTAAGCCACTGGTGCGCGGGCAGAAGCAGTGGCCTCCAATTGAGCTGGGCACTTGCACCCCGCTTGTCCTCCCAAGCGGCCACGAGCCTCGCGGTATCAACGCACAGTGGGGCGAGAGGACGGGAAAGCTGGCAAAAAGCTCCATTTCACATGAAAGGGTAGCAAAATTTCGTCGTTCCCCGGTAAGGAAAAGAAATGGACAATCACGCCACTCCTTTTAGTGCAAGTTTGAACTTGCACAAGTGTCACGCTCTCGCAATAAGAAGAGAGGTTTTTTTTTTCGATGTAAATAGTTTTGCTGTCTTGACTAGCAGAATCGTACGTGCTATGCATACGATACTTCGAAGTGTGTACATTAAATATGTATTAGTTAATAACATATTTCTTAATAATTTGGGAATTCCAAGTAGAAACTTCACGTGTCACAAAGGAAGTAAACTTTTAAATCCGGTTTTTCGATTTTGTCTTTTAGTTACCTTCTGGGCATTTTTGGACTATGATATTAACTGAATCTGATTCTGTTTGTTTTCGAAACAATAATCAAAGTTTGTCCATGTTTGCCCCATTTCACGTTAAGATACTTTGTATATAATAGTGCATACTTAGTTTTGTTAGCATTTCTACCTACAATATTTTTTTTAATTCTTCATTCATGGTCTGGTACTGAGAGCTCTTTATTAACAAAGAGGGAACTGTGTAATGTTATATAACACTAAGAAGAAAAAACAAAAAAATATAAACAAAGTGTCACCAGAAATATCCAGAGAGCAAACTAACAAGGAGGTGCTCCCCAGGGTGTTAATTGTATCTGACCCACTGATATCAGAAATGAAATTCAGAAAAATTATATTAAAGGCCTTTGACCTATAAGTTACATTAATGTTAATGTTTTAAAATAGAAATTCACTTCCGTAAGAAGAGTCACATGATGAAAGTTCTGAATATGAGGTTATATAATTTAATATTTTAAGGTTAAAAATTGAATATGTTATTTAATTTGAAAATGTGTTTTTTATTTAGTGCGATGGTAAGCTTTGTGCCGCTCTCACACGGCACCCGACACTGGGGGGACACAACCATCAGAGAGAGACAAAGACCAAGAACTAACATTTCTATCAGAAGATTTGGAGTAGACTAATATCCAAAGATTTATATTTTATAATCAACCAACATTCATTCGTTGTATCTCAATTTATAACAAACGGCTGTCACAGTTATACTGACATGCACCACACTATCACACATGCCGGGAGACCGGTCGGGAGCCAAGCGGGAGCTTGTCCCGACTGGGGCGGTGCCCCGCTGTTGGGATATATAAAAACGTGCACTACAGTTACGGGAATTATGTCCTTTGCTGTTAACTCACCCTGAATCTCTAACAATCAATCACTCAATCATAAACAGCTGAGTTATGCTTAGAAGCAAACATTACCGTCGTGTCTGCCGCGACTCTGTCTGGAATTCCTTTGGGTTCGACACCAGCTAAATAGCTGAAGGACGATTTCAGTCGCTGTTTTAAGCAGAATTCTAGTGACTTTCTGCTCGGAAGTTTTCTATGGTTCAACGAACGAACATGATCTGGGTACGATCTTTCCTTCCTCTCCCATGTTCTATCTTATTTATACACACACACACATACACTTCCATTCACCAATATACTACCAATATACCAATATACTACTTGTCGGGAGACCTGACGTGAGCTTGGTGCTTGTCCCAGCTAGGGCGGCACCTTGCCGGAGAAGGAAAGAGAGAGAAAGTATCATTGCAAGTCGCCATGTACGTCGGCTTTGGATCTCACAATCTAGCGGGGAAGAAATCGCAGCTACTTCTGAGATTAAGGCTTGCACAACATTAACGGGGCAAATAACCATTTACTACATGCCCCGAAACATCAACCAATCAATCTATTTATAATTTACTTGAAATGGGCTGTTGCATAAGTTTACTCGGTTAGACATGGAAGAGCGAAATAATGCTTTAAATATGAAAATTGGTATTAGAAGAACTCTACTTCGGAGAACAATACTGTTGAATTTACGTAGAATTTTAGTATCTCCTGTAAATTATATATTTAAAATACTCGTATGTAAATTAGTCACGAACTGCAATTATTTTTGTTGAAAATAAACTTTATAACACCTTTTTCATACAATGAACGATGTTCAGCAATGTTCTATCACGAACGTCATTTTAGGATGGAGACACTATTTTCAAACAAAAAAATTGGCTTCCACCATGCGACACTGGTTATAGAAATTTTTGCGGCAGTTTAACTCGAACGTTAATGAAAGGATTATTTATTTTTACATAATTGAATCCTAAAACCAATTTATTGTAGAAGATATAATTCGCACGAACAACTTTTCGTAAGAAGACCCAACCACTTTGTTAAATATCATTTTACGTTTTTTAAATGAACTGCGAATTAATAATGCCTTGCAAAATATACACTAAAAAATAAATGCAAAATAGATATTTCGTCTCCCATTTGCGATTTTTCACTGGAATGCTTTAAAGTAATAGAAAATGCTCAAATAATATAATGTATTTCAATATATTTTTTAATTTCAGAATTTCAATTATGTATTCATAATTTTCCTTTCTAATGAGCTCACCAAAATTACTTCTTCTCGCTGTTTGACTAATCGAAATTTTGGAAAAATTTAATAATATGGATCACTAATGAAATTCACCAATTTCTGGTTTGCATTTTCTCACTAATGACACCAAAATCGCCGTGTACTAACATTCGTGTCCTCCGTGAGTCCATCCGGCCTCATGGATGTGTGCGCATGTTGTTTGCTGCTCGTCGAGCAGAATTAAAACAAATCACAGAATGGCATAGGCTTGGGGACTGCTACGATTGAGCCCTAAGTTTCGGGCAGTTTGTAATGCATTTTAATATTTTTGTGAACCTTTCAGGATTCCGCTCCGCAGTATAGGGGTAGTGGGCCACGACGTCTCTGCGCCACCCTTCGGCTGGCGCTTGCTCATTCTAAACGAAGTGTCAACACTTCCTGTTCCGCCACTCAGGAAACCTGTGCACTTAGGAGTTTTAATTAAAGGACTAATAAACTTTCTCTCTTTATTTAATTGATGAAAGACTGTGGGACTTCACGGTATTAATGAAACCTCTCGCCAGTTTTCTCATTTCCACTAAACGTAATTATCGATATACTTCAAGAAACACGTCGATGAGCGTAGTAAAATAAGCTCCCTTCGCGTGTTGCAAGCGGACTTTTTCGTAGCTCAAGTTAGTCATTTTTTTGTAGGTTAGTCGGTCATTGCTTGACGTATAATTTATTAAATATGAACTTTTAGTTTCCTAAACTGTTAATTATGTATTTGTTTTCGAGATATATTGCACTTTACTTATGTCGTGCCTTGATATATTTGATTATGTATAAGGATAACGTAAGAGATTATAAATGTTTGGTGTCATAATTATACATTTCCATTGCTATTTTATTGTTCTAACTTCCTTTTAGTTTCAGACAATCACATTTAGAATTTGTTTCACATAGTAACATATCTGTTACTTGTAAATTTTGGAAATCATTTGTTTCCATCTTCAGAAACTGTATAGAATGCATATTTATATTAATATTTTATAAAATAATAATAATAATAATAATAATAATAATAATAATAATAATAATAATAATCGTCATTTGATACAATTTGTATTTTAGTACATATTTCTAGAGGACGATGCAGACGGTCAAAAGAACATTAATGAAATTAATTAAAGCTGAGATTCTCGCCTGTAAAATAAATAATAAACTTAAAGATTATAAAATTATTCATTATTAAGACCCCTTAAATGCATGTTTGACGCGTTTAAGCCATTTACACAGTAGTTTCTAATTTCTCTTCTATAATTATTGTTTGATTGATTGATTCTCTTGTTTCCTAGCGCTTCAACTACCTAAGATTCCTTCCCAGCTGGAATGCTAAATACGGCGCCGACCTACACGTCGACTTGCGAGGTTTTCCACTCCAGATATGTTCTCCAGTGAGACCCCGCACTTGCTGGGACAGGCCCTATGCCCGCGAGTGGTCCATCGAAAAGAGTAGTAGTGTTGTGCGTGTAAGTGCAAGTGTGTGAGGGTAAAGAGAGAGAAAGGGAAAAGAATGAGTTAAAAAATATCATGGTTGGTGCGTGGCTTGGTTGTTAGGGTATTTATCTGCCATTCGCCTTCGGCTCCGACATTCGCCTGGTATTGATCCGAGAAACCACGGAAAACTACCGATCAGAGCAACCGACTGCTCCAAATAGAGGTTAAGTATGGCATAACTCTAGAACCTGCCAGTGAGGCGCTGCAGTGGCAACAGCTAATACCCAGAGCTACCCTACCCGGTATCTTTTTACTTTCTCGCCTTTCGGAGTAATTCGTAAGAAGTCATGTAATCGTGCACCGAAGAACGGCGATTTTTTTCTCTAGGTAGTCATAATGAGTTAAATCTCTCAGAATAGCAGTGCTGCCGATGAAAATTCTACGATTTGCGGAGAAAAACGAAGAAAAGGTAAAAGTTGCGACGTGGCGGAAGTGGGGAATGTATTAGGAAAGTCCTGTATCGTACGCTACCCATCGATCGCGCACGATGTTGCGCCGCCAGAAGCTTAGAACGCCAACCGACCGTCAGCATTCCAGCGCCCTTGCAGTTAACAAATGGTACTAAAGATATCCTGCCATACGACAGCGCTTCGAATCTTGGAAATGTCCGTAATGTTGCTGTTATATACTTGCGATGAAATCTCACAATTAACAAAAAGGAAATACATGCATTTCAGGTCAAAATGGTAAAGGAATTATTTATTGATAATATTGTAAGAAACAGGCTAAAGTGTTTCTTTTCCACTTGAAATGGCTCATCCTATATAAAGTGTGTTTTATAGCACATGTATTAGACCAGGATTGTCCAAGTAGCTGCCCACTGGCTGCATGGTGCCCGCGTCGCCATTTTTTGTACTCCGCAAAACATTATTCAAGCATGAAAGTCCTTTGCATCCATGTTGAGAGAAAACATAGTGCGTCTAGCGCACGAGTCCTGCCGGGATCAACACTTAATATTAAACTCGGTTCGGTTTCAGGATTTGAATAGAAAATTCACAAATTGAAAATACTCCCAACGTGCTCCTCTGCATTGTGCATGGTATGGCGTGGTATCAGCTCGGTTCCGTCCCCCTGCCCCTTTCAGACCAACCAGAGAAACTCCAGGGATCAACAAGGCAGGGTCACGTGTAGATTGACCGAGTCAATTTCGCTCGCGACCATATTGAAGAGTTTAGTTGTGGCATTTGAGGACTTACAAGGTGGACACTCCAGTATTAGATTGTATTACATGATACAATATACATTACATTCATCAATATTGCATTTCAATAGATCAGTATTTAATTTAATATTTATGTGATGGGTATTCAATTGCATTACGTTCTAGGTTTGTTGTACTTATAATTTAAAAAAATACAACTGTAAGTTTCCCTACACTATAGGTATTTAATGTTGATATTGATGCTTAAATATATACATTTGAAAGAAAGACAATTATAAATTACTTTGTGATAAATAAAATTGGCATCATTGAATGTTAATGTATTATCATAATTTTGATCATAATTTTAGTCATAATTATTTATCACATATTTTTTCTTTTTGTTTTGGTAAAATTCAGTTATTTTTTATAAGAAAACGATATTTTATCTCTGAAAAGGTGCAATATTTTCTTACGAAATTTTAGCCGACAAAATACATAAAAACGAAATTTGAAAACTTACAGAATAAATCCTCCTTCACACGAATTATAAGCAACGGAAATGATTGCTGTTAGTTTTATAAAAAATTGTTTTATAAAAATATAACACCGATGAACGTAATAAAATATCCACATTAGTATGTTTCTTTGCGGAGACCCAAACTTTGCTCGTGTTACGACGCAATTCATGGCAAGCGAGGACTTGCTAACGATTGTTTACTGTAATTTGATCCACAAGGTCATTACCTACTAAATCTATTACTTCATTACCAATTATTACTCAATCAGAAGAACATAAAAAGATAAGATTTAATAGTGTGTGTAGTACAAGAGTGCAGTAATTTCTACTCCGTAAGTATTTTGAGAAAGCACATGTTTGGACAGAAAAGGTTCCTGTAACCGGTTTCTTGTACTTGATTACTCTCACGTTTTCCCATACCTACGTCCTTTGCATTATCGTCAAACCTCTGTGATTCAGGAAATTCGGCGTAAAGTTAACTACGCTAGTTGCAAACACTGCGATTAAGGATTTAATATTTCCTTCACGAATCATTCAAATATAATCCTTAATGATGTGCTCTCTCTTTAGCGACTGAAGTTTTCATGAATGTTTTTCTTTTAGTTCGCTGAACGTACGCTAATAATCTCGCGTAATATTTTCAACTTCAGATAAACTTTTATGTGAGCGATTTGGTAGCGCAAACGAGAGATTGCGTATGTAGTGCGTGATATGAATGGTTATTTCTTTTTGTTCTAATATAATTTTTGTACCATCGATTTTTTGTTCTAGTATTTGACGCTTGAGGGTACACGTTCTTTATCTATCAAATACTTTGATTATTTATTGTAACATTGCTGCAGAAAAAGTTCGTAAGTTATAGCGTTTTATTTTTGAAGCACTCATATTCCTATTAATTGACGAGACGGGTGAATATTGGACCGATAAGCGAAAATTGCACGGCATTTGCAGCGGACGCCGGGATGTTTTCCATACCATTACATTAATAGCGACGCACGTAGAGAGAGCTTTCGCCCTGCGTTTTGGCTCGGCAGCTTCGCCTTTCTCCAGTTCCACCTCGGGAAAATCTCACGCGAATTTTATGACGAATCGCTTTGTTTCGCGCTTTCACATGTGGGGTAGGCCACGTCTACGTGCCAGCACGCAAAAGTCCTGTAACATGTGTGTTTGCTGCGTGCGGTGGCCGGGCGGTTTCCTCTAGTCCCACCGCCCCGGAAATCATTGCCGTTACCTCCCTCGCGTCGCTCCTCTTCTCCTCCATCCAGCTGAAACCACTCACCCCATTCTGGACCGCCTCTTCTTCAGCCACTGCCACTGCCATCTCCAACACCTGCGCCTTTCCTCCCCTCACATCGTCCGTCTTTCGGAATCAATGCCTTCTCCGTCTTATCCAGTTTCGCTTTTCTCACCGCCTCCGCTTTTTCTAACACTCACATTGCCTCTCTTTTATGGCACCACTTCCACCACCCCAATCTTCGTACAATGAGTGCGGATACCGCCTGCTTCGTCGTTTCCACTATCACCGCCACTCCCCCATCCCATCCCCCCTCGCGCCTCTCCAATATTCCTCCGCCTAAATGTCTCAAAACGAGCGGTACCTCCCCATGCGGATATTCTTGGTATTATTTCGCTGCACGGCTTCCATCCCGAGGCGGCCTCGCATTTAAAATTGGGAGTGAAACCGTGTTTATCCGTGAATTGCTTCCGTACTTTCACATTACCCCTTTTGCCGGCTTGTGCTGCTGTAGAGTGGAACGCTTTATTTGAATTCAGGAACATTTGTAGGCACAAGCAGAACGTTAGGTTTTCGTACCCGGAATACAGAAATTATCTATTGAATGTCTGGTATTACCATATTTCAATTTACCAGTAGTGTGCAAATATTTGTGATATGGGGTGATGTTCATTTCGTGTAAGAAAATCATGAAATGGCCAGAACATTTCACAACTGACGAATGCATTAGCTGAGAAAATATCAAATCAAAATCTGCTGAAGATTTATATTTAATTTGACCAAAGTTTGTTCCAATCCACTGAATAATATAAGATTAAATACATTGTATTTTTATACATTGTATTCATTGATACATTTGCTCGTGTAAGTCAATATTTGTTAATGGAAAAGTTCTATGTATTACAATCATTGTAAAAGTTTGTATTTTGCTGTTTCTGTAAATAGTATGCAATTTGAAATAATGGTTTTATATGAAATAAAAGACTTTGTATAGAAGTTACGGAAATCTAACCCTGAAGAACGTTTAAGTCTTAAAGTT